TATTGTGACTCTAGTTGAATTTCACAAAGTAAATTATCATTTACATCAGTTCACTTATATCAGATGACAAAATTTAAGTGGAAAATTTATGTAAAGTAGGAAATATTCACAATGTATTTGGGTACATCAGTTGCTAAACCCCACACTTTCGGCACAGTATCGTGTCTGTGGTTATTCGTTTCACCAAGAAAACCAAGTTTAATATCAAATAACGGCAAATAAATGATATTGTTGTATAATATCATTAATACTAATTTAATTTAATAATACCATTATAATATAATGGTATCGACCTTGTCATGGTCCTGTATCCTATTCTTAAGAATTTTATTATATAGCCAGCACTCTGACTTATTATATTATATATTATGTTATCATTATAATTCGTTGAATAATAATAACGTTGGTGGAGGTTATTAAGTTGCCAGCGTCTGTGAGCTGTTATAATCTATCTGTCTGACCATGGAATCTATGTATATTTTACGCAAGGTACACAGTACACAGGGGTATTTTAACGCGTCGTCAATTCTAAATCTTATATTTTATAATTAAGATGGTACTGAAAACAGGTTATGTTGTGGTTCTAGGTAAGGTCCTGGTTCTAGTTAAGGTCCTGGTTCTAGGTAAGGTCCTGGTTCTAGGTAAGGTCCTGGTTCTAGGTAAGGTCCTGGTTCTTGGTAAGGTCCTGGTGGCTGGTTCTAGGTAAGGTCCTGGTTCTAGTTAAGGTCCTGGTTCTAGGTAAGGTCCTGGTTCTAGGTAAGGTCCTGGTTCTAGGTAAGGTCCTGGTTCTAGGTAAGGTCCTGGTTCTAGGTAAGGTTATGGTTCTAGGTAAGGTTATGGTTCTAGGTAAGGTCCTGGTTCTAGGTAAGGTTATGGTTCTAGGTAAGGTTATGCTTCTAGATAAAGTCCTGGTTCTAGGTAAGGTCCTGGTTCTAGGTAAGGTCCTGGTTCTAGTTAAGGTCCTGGTTCTAGGTAAGGTTCTGGTTTCTATAATTTGTAGATATTGAGTTAGGGTGACTTGGTTTTATCATGACGTATTTTTAACGTTGATGAAAGTGGTAACTTTTCATAAAATTAGAACGTTAAAAATAAGACAAATTTTAACTTTGCTTTTATCAGAATATTATGGATTTATGGTAACGTGAAAGAGGATAGATAATGTTATTTAAGAAAATAAAGATAGATAGGCCACAGTTTCTGATGAGTCAACTTGTACAAAAGCTCTTAATAACTCTTTAATAACTACCTGAAATTATAAAAGCTCAAGTATGTTAGGTAAGGGGACGTCTTAGTCTCTTTCTCTATCTTTCTCTCTCGCTCTGTCACCATGTTGCTCTTTTCCCATGAGATATCATTATTCTCAATTACAATGAGAATAGCTTTGTAGTAGACTATTATTGGTATGAAGATATGACACTTCTGTCTAGATGTAAATTTCTTGCAGCATTACATAATAACACTCGCTTTATCAACTTAATAACACCAGAATGTGTGTGTGTATGTGTGTCTGTCTGTCTGTCTGTCTGTCTGTCTGTGTGTAATTTCCGAACGGTTATACAAAAAAAACGGTAATAGTTACGGGACTGGTTTTTTCGGTATAGTGCCGACAAAACTCTGATGAAGCCCATAGGAAATTTTTTTTTAAATCGGCCGGTGGTAAGTGGTTTAATTGATGGTTTTGTACCACAAATGTTACATAAAATTGCTTGAGCAGAACGGCAAGAGTTACGGGGCTTGCTCTCTCTCTCATTACTGTGTAATGTGTTATAGCTGCATTTAAGTAGCGTCATAATTGGATTAGCCTGGAAGATTCGCTGTAATGTTATACCTTAAGCTTATTAGGGGAGGGGGGACTGTTAGTGTTTGGGGTCTGTTTGGACTGCTGAGAGAGAGAGAGAGAGAGTTCATACGACAATGTTATGCGTGTTTTCAAATATAACATGCGGGTGTGGTGCGGAGTTAACAAGGGTTAATTTCTATAACGATTTAAATAAAAATAGAAAGCGGTTCAAGACGGGAGTGATGAGGTGTAATACTCGGTGTTCAGACCTTATGATCATGGAGTGTGGTGCCTCATGGCTAATAATGACTTAATTATCCACAAGAAATAACTGATTATGAGATTATTGTTTAAGAAACTATTGGGTCACCTAATGCGGGTTTTGACTCAGCGGGTAATTACTCCTACCCTTTTTAACTGCGGCAGTGAAATCCCGGCCGTAGGCCGGGTTACACTAGTTAAGTATATAAAGTACATATAACATTATGTTATATATAGTAAGATTAGCCACGGTGAGAAGGCTTTCCTGTTTCCGCTAACCGCAGGAGCTCAGCGACCGTCGACCTTAGCAGATCTGAGATCACATACAGGAATTTAAATGTTCTCTTCGATATTCCTGCCGAATAAATCACATTGCCACTGCGATGAAGACGCACGGAAAACTGATCATGATGCAACAATTATAGGTGCATTATTTTAATCAAGAATTCGTTATATTATATGTTTAATCAAGATTGATGTGTTAACGAGATTTACCTAGCTTGTTAGTCCATTGCTCGCTACTCTCACGTATATATACTTTTCCCAATGAGAGAAGCTCGAAAAGAGCGCCGCGCATTGGGATAGGTGTACCAGGTAAAAACGTACCAGGTAAAAACGGTGATGAAATTACTAACGCATTTACAACTGCTCTGCAAAAGAAGCAGGGTAATCACACTTTATATCACACTGTATATCTGCAGTCTGCACACTTAGAGGGCCATTTGATAATTCTTTCAAAGAAAATCCTAATAAAACAAAAACTCAGTACCAACAATTTGAAGTGAAATTAAATAAATCACGTTACGACTTTTGATTGTTCTTAGTTCTCACTCATTTAAAAAATTGTTTGTCCCGAGGAATCGATTGGGTAATTTAAGTCAAAAGAAAATAAGATTTTCAGAAGCTGTTAGCGTTAATAAAAAACTGTTAAATAGGGCATTCTTCTCCAAAGAAAAAGTTCAGTGTACGTGTCCGCTTGCGCTGACAAGGGATTCACTATAAGAAATTGACTTTAAGAGATAAAATAACATAAAAGTAGATCAATTTAATTGAATTAGCCACGGCGAGAAGGCTTTCCGCTTATCGTAGGAGATCTGAGATCACATACAGGAATTTAGATGTTCTCTTCGAGATTCCTGCCCAATAAATCACATACGGGATATTAAAAGTAGTAAAATTTTGCATGGTTTACAAATTATAAACCTCGGCGGCATTTATTGCATTATCTTGTCAACTTTCGGCTAATCTTAAAGTCTTAAATCGTGCATTATAAAAAAGTATTGATCTCATAAAATTATAACGTGGTAGGCACCGGAGTTATTTTGATAAAAGACAAGACGTAATTCGCATCAGCAAAACTGAATACCTCTGATCATCTCTTGCGATTCGAAAAATGAGTTTTAAAAATTGGCTAAAATCTTTTTAACAAAGCCAGCAAGATAAGCATAATAATTAATATAATATAATTGAAAAAAATTTGCCGCACATTTTCCAAATATTCGCCGCACTTTTCACCAAATTTGCTGCATATTAACTTTAAGCAATTATTGGACAAATTTTGCCGCACTTATAATATACAAGAAACCCGTTAGTCGTATGCTTTGTTCGAGGAAATATTATAAAATCAGTCTTGTTTTAATTTCTCTTTCATTATCTAGCTCTGTACTGTAGAAAGCAACAATGCAGTGTCCTATTCCTATCCTTTTTCTACGACCCTGCTAAAAATCGCGAGGTTTCAACTCCAACTGCGAACTAAAATTGGTCACGTCAAGGGGATCATTTTTGGTCAATTTTCAGTGTTTTTTTTCGTTGCCGGGGAGATTTCGTCATATTTAAAATATAATATAGATAAAATTTAATGTTCCCCTCCCTACAAAATATACTTCCCATATAGACTACTCTGAAATGGGCCACTCTGTTTTGACATGTCAAAGCGGTTACCATTTGGCAAAAAACAAGCCAGATTCAGTAATGCACTGTCACGTGTCACCCCAACTCCGGTAATCCTCCATCAACTTAAAATCGTACCACTACAGTTTTGAATTTGAAGTGTTAAAATGCTTCTTTAAATACATGCACGTGCTTGATGGGCCAGAATAAGACATTAAGCTCGCAAATTATTTTGGGAAGATGATTCTGAAATCGGATGGTACATCAGACTGTTAAGGAATAAACTTCTAAGTGTACCGGGAAAGGATTTTATAATTACCCGAGACATTACACTGCTCAGGGATGCGGATAACATGTACTTTTTTAATTGATTCGAGAAGTGATATCCGTCGTTTACATCATGCTTCTAAGAAATAGCTAGAGTATTCCAATATTCAGTATTCCATGTCGCCCCATCAGATTTCTGAAGTAAATGTAACCACTAACCAAATGCTAATAACCTTAAGAAGTGGTCCTAGGATTGGTCGTTAGTATTCCTCGTGTTTGCTTGTAGTAATCAGATGTCCACTATACTGGCAATGTGTACTATACCGCATGAAATTTGAGCGCTTCGACAGAGACCCGCAAAAAATTTTAAAACTCAAACGGGACGAATCTGCTGGATCATCTTTCGTACTAGCAATTTTGTGGACTGAAGGTATGGATCTGCGCGCGCACGTACGTTCTTATCCACAAAAGTTGGATCATGACAGTAATCTCGATTAAGGTGTGGCCAAGCCCGCTTGATATCAGAGTTGGTTGAGTGCGCCAGAAAATAGCGGCAAGTTAAATGTATTTAACGAAAATTGCACAGTTTATCACTGACTTGACAGCTTAAACACATGACCAACAGACTACGTTAGTGCCAGTAAACCCCTCTAAATCCACCTCTCTCGTCCAATGAGAGATAGGCACAGTAAACGAGCTATTTTATCTTTTAACCCAGCATTATTCGTCAGAGGATGTAAGCACATAGTATAACATATCCGCTGTAGCCTATGCTATTTCCAATAACCCTCACCTGTTTCAGAAGATCCTAGAACGAGAGGATTAGATCGGCCCGGTTACGAACGAAGCTTCTCTCACGGCTCCCATGGGAGTGTTCCGAATGAACGGAGTATTTCCTCTGATGACTACGCTACACAACAGTACCCTTACAACAGACGAGATGTTAGTACTTACTACATGCTTGCGATTTTTTGCTTGTTCTTATGGTTCTGACACTGTTCGTGCAAGATCGAGGGTAGCTATGTAACATAAAATGCTGAAAAAAACAACCCTAACAGTTGAAATGCTCTTATTGAAGAAACTCTCAATCTCAATTGTTTTTCAGTCGCCCCAGCTAGCAGGAATCCAGCACCAAGGTTACCCTCCCCAGCAACAATACGCGCCCCAACAAGTTGCCCCTCACATGACCTCACAACGCAGCATCACGTCCCAAAATAGCATCGCCTCATCTCAAGGTCCCCCCTTACAACCTCCTCTACCGTTCGTGGGGCAACAGTTCCACAGCGCCAAGAGATACGGTAGCAGGGGTAGTTTGGACGATAGTTCGTGTACTTCCTCCTCTCCCAGCTTGCAGTCCTACAAAACATCTAATTCGCGCAATCCCGAGTATGATGACGGATCTTCTCAACGCTCCACCAATGGTTAGTTGACTTGACACATCTTACCAACCGTAAATAGACTTAACACATCATATTAGCACAAAAACTCTCAGTTTCTTCTCTTATTCACATTATGTCATCATGTTTACCCGCCCTCACATGCTTAGTCTCTCTCTCTCTCTCTCTCTGTTGCTTACTCACGTGGTATTATGAAATTAGTGTCATCCTCATTATAGCATTTATCTTTCTCAACTACTTTGTGTTCTTTGCTTCTTCTCTAAAAACACATTAAAGTGTAAAATGTATCGGTACCGATTGATCGTCCACTCATTGAAGCATTATCTTGTACTTTTTAAGTTGGGAAATGCTACTCTTTCTCTTACAATACTTACATGCATATTAGCCTCTAACATGTATGTTAGCCTCTCACATGTATGTTAGCCTCTCACATGTATGTTAGCCTCTCAGAGCCAGCATGCTGCATGTGACACGGTTTTAACTGCAGGTCCCTTCTCAGACTCCGGCCTAGGAACCTGGGCACAGTCCGACGCTCCTCCCAACATATCTGACAAGATCTCGCAACCTATGTCTGAGCTGGACAACATTGACTCAGGTTAGGAATTTTTCAGAGACCTCTCCAGTCTCTGAGATTGAGCTTTATTTATTTTCAGTGCGTGGGTTCAAATCTTCAAATTATACTGCTTACAGTTAATTGAATGGCTGCAAGGGGTTCAACTTATGATGTGTTTCCGCTCTGCAACTGGTCCAAAACATTTCTTGTTCTGATTTGAAGTTTCTTAATTCGACATTTTTCAGGAACAGATTCTGGCTATATACCTCCCAACTTCATCAAGAAAGTTCAGAGCATTTACCGGTAAGTAATTTAATTAAAGCTCTATTATTCGCAGCAGTTGGGTTTAAATTTAATACGAAAGCTTTTAATAAACTGATAACTAAAGGTTATCAGTTTATTATTGATACTTTTCCTATTGTTGATGTTTTATTGTTATTGATATTTTCTCGTTGTTGTATTTTCCCACTGTTGATATTATGTTCTCGCTGTTGTATTTTCTCGTTGTTGATATTTCCGCATCATAATATTTCACTCTAACCGCCTCCCCACAGGTACAACAAAACAAGTGACGACGAGCTAACTCTACCTGTAGGAGCCACTGTCTACGTGCTACAAGAGCACAGCGACGGTTGGAGTGAGGGTTTCTACAACGGCCAATACGGTTACTTCCCGGCCAATTTCACCACCATGCTGGTTGATAAGTAACGTATTTAGGATAACCAACCTTTTGAGAGCTATCTGATTTTCTTGTGATGTGGAGAATGTTATGAATTGGCGGGTGTGGACCGCCCGAAGTGGAAGAGAGAAAGAGCTGGAAATATATATCAAATTACGACCTCAAAATGGTTTAGCTGAGCGATGAAAAGGTTTGAGGTACCTGGGTCGCTAGATTCGAGGCAAAGACTGAATAAAAAGGTTGATATATTGTGTATGAATATTGGGAATTAAATGAATTTGATAAATTTACTTTTCGAGCATTGGTTTCCAAACTTTTACTTGTTTTTATTTTATTTCTATGTAAAATATTTGCCATCGCATGATGTTAACTAACTGACTAGTATAATTTATCATACGTTTTGTATCGAGATTGGACACAATTTTAACGATAAGATGAATTCCATTCAAGGAATCGTCCATCCATCATAAAACAGACCACTTTTGTTGGCCTGAACTTATCACTGAACAATCTGCCTGAAATGTTATTGAATTTTGTCAAATGAGAACAATGGATTTGTTCGAACGAACACTGAGTGGTTTCAGCCCGATTTCACCAATTTTGTCTCACGATCGGGCTGGAATCCCTCTACTTTTTTTCCCTATTTGTTTGAGGATTTTTGTTTTATACATGGAGTGTTTGGAAAACAGCCAACTCTTGATAGTTGTAATTTGGCAGCCATTTTATGTTTAAATTTTAAGCACCGTATGGCTTTATTTAAAAATTATTTGTCACTGTGGCACGACTTCAGAGCTTTCAGGCGAAGTGATTCATTGTTTCAATTTATATTCTTTGTGATGAAAATTGATTGAATTGAGTTCAAACTTGAATCATTTATTTATCTGGTCAGAATTTCCATACATTTTTTCAACATCACGTGTTTTGTTTACAGTCTCATATATTTGATCCTTCCTGTTGTGCTTTAATTTTATGAAATTCACATTTTCAAATTTCACATAGTGCCGTTCAAGTGCTCCCTGCTGGACATTATTTGAGATGGAAGTTGAAATTTTAAAACAAAAATGATATAAATACTAAACAAATTATTAAACCTAAAGGTGGTATGAGTTTGGGCATTGCTGCACTGTGTTGATGACTAACGGCCGAAAGAGTGGGCTCCCATTGAAACTGAGCCTTAGTTTTTCCAGTCCTCCTTAATTCTTTAAAAAGACCTGTCTGAGATATGCATTCTTGAAAGTACTGTCATGACCTTTGTTCTAAAGATTGAACATTTTGTTAACTTATGTTGATTTATGAAACAACACTACTAGCATCCAAACTTATCATTTCTATGGAGCCGTTATATTCTGCCGATAAAGTCATCACCATGACATGTACGCAAGTTGCTCGGTTAAAATGCGGTCATTGACTGATAAAAGTGGTTAACCAAGAACAATGTGTGAGCTGCCGAATATATTTTCAATGTTTTATCAATGAGTTTTTACATAAACCTATACTGCTCTTTTTATTGTGTTCTCAATTTTAAATATATGGCCAATAGGCAATAATGTTATATTATAAAAGTGAAATCATATTCCTCGTTATCAGTATAGTTGAAAACTTTGCTGATAAAACGGCGTACAAATCATGAAGTGGCAAAAGTTTTGTCGATAATTTTATAACTACATTTATTCACATATTTTGACAATACAGCTACACTATACAGCAATAAATTCTAATTTATAGAGTGCTATCCACTGATTAGTGTCTATTTATGATTTAGCTACTCCGATAACTATGTTTGACAATTGTAACCTCGTGAAGCGAAGCTGAAAAGTCCATATTGCCCTGCGGCTGCCCAACCAGTCAACAGAGTATTTTTTATAGTAATATCAAACCGAGGTGTTTACCTAGCGTCCATTGGTCCCTTGATTTACCGGTTCAACTAAAATCTGTCCACCAATTAGTGAAGTCAATCCCGGAATTCCCGACCGGGAAATTTTCTCAATTCCCGGTTTTCGGGAATTTTAAATATTTGTGTTATACTTCATACTTATAGTTGCAAATTTTAGAATATTCGATAAATTGACTGCAAAATAATTTTAAAAATTAAATTAAAAGTTGGGTCATGGCATAGAATTATAGACGTGACTTTATTAAATTTACACGAAATTGGACCTAAAGATGAGCACTATTTGCTTTTGGGAATTCTGATTATTTTCCCGATTTTCGGGAATCCCAGGATTTTTTGTCGGGATTCCGGCCGAATCCCGCGATTAAATATTTTGATCGGGATTGACTTCACCACCGCCAATCTTTTACTGGACACATGAAAGTCAGACTGTTGGTTACTTATCACAGTGCTGGCAAGCACGACCGGTGCATTTATTGTGGGTATACTATGTACCCCCTTTACTATTATACCCCCTTTACTATTACACCCCCTTTACTATTATACCCCCTTTGGTACACGTTACAAGCCTCTTTCGTGCACTCCGGCAGGAGTTTTTCAGGCATTAAGACTCATCGGAAGTCGTTCAGCAGATTTATTTTTAGTTCAAAACATTCTAATTTGATGTCAAAGATGACAGGAATAAAAAATAGTTATGTTGAGATTTTTAAGAAATTTGCATAAAATACTCGCCAGCACTGTTATACGAAATTCGGTAAAAAACCCAAAATCGCCATATTCAGGTGCCTTAAAAACCATGTTAAAATTGAGTTAGAGATCTGACATTTTTCAGGGCGTCTAGACGTTGACCGAATCGACTGCAAAAAAAGTTTCAGGTTTCAGGAGCATCGGGAAATGGGTTTTCTAGAACCCCTGTTTTACGATAGATTGTCGTGATATATATTTTACCAAAACCCATAATCATGGGTAGAGTGTACCGCTGCCAGTGTCTCTCTTTTCCAAACAAAAGGAAATGATATTAATTTGAGGAACAGTCCGCTAATGCAAATTGATACCGAGAATGAAATCGGTCGCTCGCTTTTTCAAATCAATAAGCTTTATTACAATTCGTGAGCCGTGATCGAATGGAAAAAGCGAGCGACCGATTTCATTCTCGGTATCAATTTGCATTAGCGGACTGTTCCTCAAATTAATATCATTTCCTTTTGTTTGGAAAAGAGAGACACTGGCAGCGGTACACTCTACCCATGATTATGGGTTTTGGTAAAATATCATCTCTTTTTGATTATAATGTCAGGATAATTTACACAGCTAGTCGAAACTTCATTAACAAGGAGGTAATTTCGACGATTTCGAAATTCTGCCTTTGAAAACGTTTCCTTGTGTTTAGTTAGGTATATCTGTCGATAACCGACTGAATATGGCACTTTTTACTCATTCAAGTTGGCATTAAATTCATATATAATGCCATTTAAATATCGTGGAAAGCAGAATATATTCGAAATCACGAATGAGCAAAATTCTCACCTTTCGCACGTGCAAACTTTGAGCGGACGTTACGTGCGCATACAATATTGAATCACCGTAAATTTTTGCGTAGTGGTATTTAATATATAGTTTGATAAGCATGCAAAGTTTCAGAAGATTTCAAAAAGAACTTGGATCACAACGGGACTCCAAAGTTGATAAAAATCGTGAAAATCAAAATTTTTAGTGATTTTAGCTATTTTAAATCAATTTGGGCGTGTCCCCACGTGTGCAACTTTTCGATTTTTAACTTTAAAACTAGCCTATAACACAATTTACACCTTTAAGAAGCAAAATTGAGCTCCACAACCCAAGGGATAGCCCAACACCAGAGAATACTAATTCACAACTTTTGTGTTTTTATAAAATTATTCTTCAAAAAAGCACTAACTTCAATAGCAAATATCTTTATGAAGGAGTAAGGTAGGAAACTTTTCCGGTAGATTTTTAGAATGCTTGAACAATTATCTAAGGTGAAAATGTCCTCAGATTTTGAATAAAATTACTCTTTAATGGTGTAAAATCGATTTGAAAAGTTGTTGTTTTGTCAAAAATCAAGTTTAAAAAACACTTAAATTGATGACGTCATCAAGTGATGATGATGATGATAAATTATTTTTCAATATAAAGTAAACTAAAGTATAAACGATTATCTTTAAAACCTGTGGTTCGAAATGACTGTATCTTTTATACTTTTGAATCTACGGACACTTAAATGTAGGCTACAATTGACTGCAAAAAGCGTCTATATATATCTTCACGACAATCTGTTGTAAAACAGGGGTTCCAGAAAACACACTTCCCGATACTCCTGAAACATGAAATTTTTTTTACTGTCGACTTGGACAAGGTCTAGACGCCCTGCAAAGTTTCAGATCTCTAACTCAATTTTAACATGGTTTTTAAGGCACCTGAATATGGCGATTTTGGGTTTTTTACCTAATTTCGTATAACATGCTGGCGCGTATTTTGCGCAAATTTCTTAAAAACCTCCATATAACTATTTCTTATTCCTGTCATCTTTAACATTGAATCAGAATGTTTTGAACTTAAATGTACCTGCTGAATTACTTTCGAAAAAGTCTTAATGCCTGGAAAACAATAAAGGGGATATAATAGTATAGGGGGTAAATAGTATTGTGAATATAAGGGCGACGGTAATGCTTGCCAGCATTGTGATATACATATATATTCAGGGATAGACGCTTTGCCAGTCAATTGTAGCCTGTATTCAAGTGTCCATAGATTCAAAAGTATAAAAGATACAGCCATTTCCGACCACATGTCTTGCGAATAATTGTTTACACTTTAGTTTACATTGAATAACAAAATTATTTGACGTCATAAACACCCCTTAATGACGTCATCAAGTTAACCGTTTTTAAAACTTGATTTTTGACAAAGTAATAACTTTTAAAATTAATTTTAAACCATTAAGGAGTAATTTTATTCAAAATCTTAGGAGATTTTTACCTTAGATAATTGTTCAAGCATTCTGAAAATCTACCGGAAAGTTGTTCTAGCTTGCTCCTTCATAAAAATATTCGTCATTGAAGTTTGTGCTTTTTTGAAGAATTATTTTATAAAAACGTCAATTTTGCGATTTAGTATTCTCTGGTGTTGGGCCATGCCTTGGGTTGTGGAGCTCAGTTCTGCTTCCTATAGGTATAAATTGTGCATTAGGCTAGTTTTAAAGTTGAAAATCGAAAAGTTGCACACGTGGAGACACGCCCAAATTGATAGAAAATTGCTAAAATCACTGAAAATTGCTGTTTTCGTCATTTTCTGTCAACTTTAGAGTGCCGTTGTGATTACAGTTCTTCTTGAAATACTTTGAAACTTTGCATGCTTATCAAGCTATATATAAAACAATTACATGCAAAAATTTACGGCGATTCAATATTGGATGCGCACGCAACGTCCGCTCAAAGTTTGCACGTGCGAAAGGTGAGAATTTTGCTCATTCGTGATTTCCAACAAATTCTGCTTTGCCACGACAGTTTAATGTCATTATATATGAATTTAATGCCAACTTAAATGAGTATTAAGTGGCATATTCAGTCAGTGATCGACCGATATGCTTCCCTAAACACAAGGAAATGTTTTTAAAGGAAAAATTTCGAAATCGTTGAAACTTCCTCCTTATTAATGAAGATATCAGTTTATATTTCGACTTTATAAAGTTTAAGTACCCTGACATCATAATCAAAAAGAGATGATATTTTAGCAAAACCCATATTTATGGGTAGAGTGGACCGTTGCCAGTGTCTCTCTTTCCCAAACAAAAGGAAATGATATTAATTTGATTGACCGTTCTCAAATGCAAAATGATACCGAGAATGAAATCGGTCGCTCGCTTTTCCCATTCATTTACAATTGTAATAGATTAAGAAGAACTACCCAAAGGCAGCTGTACTCGGCAATGAAGATTCAATAAACTTCAGCTTGTTCAATAAGTAATAACTACCACCCTTGTCCCTTATCCCGAAATACTAGGTATCGACCCGAACGCAACCCAAAGAGATTTTTACAGCATCTGATTGATGTAATCAATCGAAACTTATTTATACAATTCGTAAGCCGTGAATGAATGGGAAAAGCGAGCGACCGATTTCATTCTCGGTATCATTTTGCATTTGAGAACGGTCAATCAAATTAATATCATTTCCTTTTGTTTGGGAAAGAGAGACACTGGCAACGGTCCACTCTACCCATAAATATGGGTTTTGGTAAAATACTATAACTCTGATAACCGTTTCGTGTATTGCTTGAGGATCTAGGCCAAGAAAGATAAGGGACTACTGATAAGGGTCTTCTACAGTTAAAGTGTATACGGTAAGAAATATTTGCTTAACAAGGGGATCATTAACATCCATTCATATGAAAGTGAACCATTCATTTCCATTCTCTGCCACACACATGTATTGGCGGAGGTTTGTATTACTTTTGGTTCCACCTCCGTCCTCCAGTATTCAATAGTTCGTACGACAGCCAACAACATATAAATTTAAAATAATATGACTATGACTTCACCCGCACGCCACCCAGTATAGCCATGTAGAGCACTTGTTTAAA